CTCACAAACATCTCGCAGGACAAGTAGCATCTCTGGCAGATAAGAAAACCAAGACTCAGAAAGGTTAAGTGACTTGTTCAAGGTCACATAGCGAGAACACGGTGAGGTGGGCACGCAAGCCCGGGTCTCTCTGAGGTGCATGACCACCACCAGTTTCTTTCCTGGGGAAGAAACCAGGGGCCAATAGCGAAGGTCCACGTAGGTGGATTATTGTCCCCCTAAACTCCCAGCACTGCCCCATGCCCCCGCCCGCAGTTACCCTCAGTGGATCTTACAAAGGGTTCCCAGAGAGGCCTGCACACCCCTCCCAGAAGCCCCCAAATGCAGGCCAGACCCTATCCGCCTGCAGAAAACTCTCTTTGCTCAATAGCTAAGACTGATCCACTCGCAGGGGCTCAAGAGACTAAGGTGAGAGATCTGGATCTCACGGAGGCAGTTACCATGGGCCATGAGGGGGCAATGGGGGGAGGGGGAGAGTATATCAAGCTGACTGGAGAGAAACACGATTACATGGACAGAGGTCTGGCCTGGACTGCAGCAGGGGCAGGAGGGCCCCCCCCAGATCCAAAGGGGGCCGAAAGTCCAGGGCACGGACTCAAGATTGGGACGCCAAGGGTCCCAAGCCCCTGACCTCCCCTGCCCACGCTAGCCAGCCCACCCCCCTCTCCCTGTTGAAGGAAGACCGGCTGACCTTCTGTTGGGTACTAGGTCAGCCCTCAACAAGGAAGATGAGACCTGACGGTTTTGACGCCTGGGAATGAGTCTCTTCCAAAAGGGCTCCTTCAGCCCTGAACCAAAGCATCCGACGCTTCCCAAGGGCACAGTGGGATTAGAAGACCTGCATCTGGCTGTCCCACTGCCCAGCTGTGAACTCAGGCCCCTCGCTGGGCCTTGGACCCTGGCTGATACCATGAGAGGGCAGGACGGGATCCCTGGGAGGTCCCTTCCTGCTCTGTCCGGGCACCCTGAGGCTCCGGGCAACGTGGACACAGCCAAGGCCAAGTGCCCACGGAGCCAGCCTGCGGGGCCGGGAGCGGGAGAGCCAGGTACCGCTCCTCACTCTCACCCCCACTGCTGCCGCACACACACGAACTCCCTCTCCAGGCCTGTGGCAGCCTTGGAGGTCCAGCCTCTGCTTTTCTTTCTGCTCAGGAGACAGCAGTCCCACCCACCCGCACACCCTAGCGCTCTGCCCTCAACGCGGGCAAGGAAGGCTCTGTGACTCCGGGTGGGAGAGGATGCAGGCGCGGGGCAGCGTGCGGGCAGCACACGGAGTGGCTCCCGCCTCCCATCTGACTCTGAACCCCTGCCCTCCCTGCCCTAGGCCCGGGTCCACGGCACGCCCGACCCACCAGCTCTGGCTCCGGCCCCTGCTCTTGGGGGGGCTTCCTCTGCATCCTTGCCACCCCAGCCCCACCCCAGCCTCTCCAATGCCCTGTGGCTTGGCTTGTATGCCACAAACGAACCACCGTTCGGCTTCCTCTTCGAGAGCTGAATCGGCCTCTGATTACTTTGGAAACAATCTCTTTGTAACTGAAGTGTCCAGTGAGACAGTGGCAGAGGGGATGGGAAAGGAAAGAAGGAAGGAAAACACCTACGAGTGTGGCCATGGCGTGAATGTACAGAGAGGGTGGCCTCTAGTCTCCCAGGTACAAAGCAACGGGAGTTCATTATTATCTGTACTGAGCGCTTCCTATGCACCAGGCACTGTTCTGAGTTGAAATAGATTTCTGATTTAATCCTCAAAGCAAGCCCACCCACCTATGAGGAAGTAGCAATATAGCCCCCATTTTAGAGAGAGAGCAACTGAGGCAGAGAGGCTGACCATCTGCCTGAGGTCACACAGCTGGTAGGGGTCTAGAAGTCTGCACACCCAGCCTCTGGCCCAGGCTCGTGAGTGCATAGACCACGGCAGTGTGCTAGATGCCCGTTTGAGGAGTCTGTCTGGAAAGGGCCTGAGGAGGCAGGTGATGGCAAACCCATTCGTGGAGGGGGGCCCTGGGGCAGGCAGGTGAGACAGGATGCCAGCCTCACTCAGCTTTTGTCCCTCCAGAACTATCCCCCATTCAGTCTCTGCCTGGCTTTGCCACTCACCAGCCGTGTGACCCGGGACAGGAACTTAATCTCCCAGAGCCTCAGTTTCCCCATCTGTAACACCGGATGGTGATAATGCCACCTCCCTCAAAGTAGGTGAAGCTCAAGGAGCTCAAGTGTGTGATGCTCCTGGCACCTAGGGGGTGGCCCATGAGTGTTAGTTCCCCAGCTAGGTGAGCAGTGCCAATCTGGCTGGAGTTTAGATGGGACAGGGCCTTATTAGGCCTCACCACTCAAAGCAGGACCCCCAGGCATCACCTCCCCTGGGAGCTGGTTAGAAATGCAGGCTCTCTCAGGCCAGCCCGGACTCACTGAATCAGAATCTGCTTCTTCACATAGCATTCTAGGAGATCTGATGGGGGAAGTCATTTGCAGCCTTCTGGGGGCTTGGTCACCTGGTTCCAAGTATAAAAGTGGGTGACGGGTGGAGACAGTGAGGAGGTGCAGGCCCCTGGCAGGAAGACATACTTGCAGGGACAGCAGGGCTCTCTTGAGCCCCACGGTGACCCTGAGCGCACAGCCCTGATTCTCGGGGCCAGGAGCCAAGGTGGAGGCAGGATCACAGGGCTCTGGGCTCCGGGCTGGCTGTGCATTTAACTCATTGCTATGTGTTGTATAGAAGGCAGGGGGCGTGCCGAAGCCCCTGCAGGCGGCCTAGGAGACCTTACTGCCTTAGCCTTGCTCTCACCTGCCTAAGCCCCAAATCCATCTGAGCAACGAGAAGCTTGAGTCCTGCTCTCTTAAGGTTGACCAGGACCCACATCCCTGTCAACTGCAGTAATTGGTCACCTGCAATGTGCCTGCTGCCGACCCCCCCCCCCCCCCCGCCCAAGCATGAAATCTACCACCCCAGGTTGCTGGGTGAAGCTCGGACCTCAGGGTCTGCCCAGAGGCATGCCCATCTCTGACGCCATGCCCATCTCTGACGCACACACTCTCATAGGGCAACCGCAAAGCCCACCCTCTGTCCCGCCACACAGCTTCAGGTGGGGGCGGGACCCCTGTCCACCCTGCCCACAGATGGGTAATGGCTCTCACCTCTACACCTCCACGTTCAGTTCAGAAACACACACCCTACTGACCTCTTTTCGCCACTGCAGACTGGACTGCCAGGGGCCCCCAGGCTCATGCGGGCTCCAAAGAAAGCCTAAAAGGTGGGGCCAGATCCTCAAGCAGGCCTAGGATGCCCAAGAAAGACCCATAGATTAGGGGGATGAGTTGGGGCTGCTGCAGGGTATGTGATGTCATGGGTTCTGGAAAGGCCCTTGGCCCCAAAATATCTCCACTCTGGGTCCGGAAATCCCTCCCGACGCTCTAAGAGTCCCTGCTGGGAGAGGCTGTCCCCTGAAGGCCTTGTAGATCACAGCTCCAGAGAGGGAGAGGCAACTGACAGTTGGCTTGAGGGTGGTGAAAGATGGGCGGGGGAGGGTGCGTGCGGACAGACCATCATCTCGCCAGGGTGTCCTGATCAAGGGCTCTGAGCTCCAGCCAGGAGGGGGCACTCTGTCCCCCAACACCAGAAGGCTGGCTTCCTAGAAGCCAGCACCTCTTGGCCGGGAAGGGGGTCCAGCAAGGGGAGGGACATTAAGCACCCCCACCCCGCATGCCAGGGGAAGTCAAGTCCCAACTCAACTGTCCCCTCGAGGGAGGCAAAGTGCTAGTGACCAGGAGGGGGCGGGAGCCCTGAGAGAAGCGAGGTGGGGGACAGGAGGGGAATTAACCAGGTTCCAAAATAGCACGGCTGGTTCTGCCTCGCTTCACCCTGTGCAATGTCTGGCAGCTTCTGCTTTCGGTCTGACTCACACCCGGTGGAGGCAGGACAGGGCGGCCGGTGGCGCAGACAGAGGCTGCGGGACAGCCACAGACCTTCCTCGGCTCACTACAGGCACCTACCCCGCTGGCCCTCCTCCTCTGCCCGTGCCCCAGGCTGGGCTTCTGGGGACACGAGTGGGGCACAAAACCAGGGGTTCCCTCGCCTGGGTCCTGTCCCAGCCCTTGCCCACCCCAGGGCCTCCCCGGTGCTGGCAGCCGCCCCAGACCCCAAACTCAGCTTCACCTCTGTCCTGCCCCGGGGACACTCCAGTTGGCCCCTCCACCCCTCCTCCAACTGGCAGATGCCCCGCCAGCCAGCCTCGCCCCCCACAAGTGAAATGTCCTCAGTAGCGACTCCACCGTGACTACCTACGGAGGAGTAAGCTTCGTGCCCCTGCCCCGTCTCTGCCACACATGCAGGTATGGGAGGGACACCCCAGTCTCACTCTCCAGATTCGCACAGCAGCTTGCCTAACTTCTGTTTCTGTCCTCAAATGCAAGAAGCACCCTGCCGTCAGCGGGGCAGAGAGAGAGGAACCAAGTGCCCTGGATTTTGTGCCTGTCGGGATGGGGGAGGGGCACGCCCCTCCTCTCTCCCCCTTTCGTGATCTCCCAATCACTGCGTCCTGTGCCTCCCCAGCTTCCCTCCTGGGGAGGTGAGACGCCTCATACCTCCGCCCTGGACCAAAGTCGCTTAAGCTCCAACCCGAGCCACCCAACGAAAGCCTCATCATAAAGTCCACCTCTGGGGCCTACGCCAACGGCGTCTGTCCTCCAGGCCCTCACACCAGTGCACCAGCCCCAAGAGCGCAGCCACCTTTCTCTGCAAGCGGGGCAGGTGCATGGCAGACGAGAAGAGAATGTCAAAGGTCGTGAGGTTAGCCATCACGGGCGGGCGGACGAACTCCTGCGGCCCACCCTGACACCTGCGCCCCGACCAAACCTGGAGGGAAAGGCGGAGGGTGGCGGCTGGAGAGAGAGGTCACGGAGCCGAGGCTCCGGCAGGCCCACCTGCCGCCCGGCGCCCCACCGGGCCCAGCACCTGCCCCCTGCTCGCCTCCTGCCCTCCCCCCACCACCACCCCCAAGCCTTACCTACGCACCACTTCCCTCTCTTAACTCTTCCCATGCCCTCAGCCCCATAAGGCTTCGGACTGCTGTGCGAATCTGCACGGTGGGAGCAGGAGTCAGCAGGGAGGAGGCCCCTCTCCAGGAAGCAGGCGCCGGGCAGAGCCCTCACCAGGGACACAGAAGGATGCCCTTGAATAAAATGCCCCCCCTCCCATTGCCCCGCAAATTGCATCCTGTTCCTCATAGAGACACAGAGGGAGGGCACCAGAAGACAACCACGTGGCAGCCATGGGGCCAGTGGCCCCAGGAGGGGAAGAGGCAGGGGCATTGAGAGAAAGGAAAAGGAAGTCAGAGAAACCGCTACAATCACAGTCTCAGGATGCTGGGGCTGGGAGGGGACTCAAAGGTGGCTCCAGGCTCCGTGCCACCCAGCACATCCGTCCCGCCCTCTGGGAGCGGACGGAGCCCAGAGAAGTGCACTTGCCTCGGATGGGGCCTGGAAATGGCTGCCGGTGTCTGACCTACGGGAAGGACCTCGTGTGTGCTGGGTCCCTTTCCTCTGCTGTGAGTGCCTGGAGGGATCCTAACAGCTTCCTCTGCCACACAGTAGGAGCTCCTTAAGTATCTGTTGAACACAACGAAGGTGGCCCTGGCGACTGGCTCCAGGGGGCAGGGTCTGCCCGGGGCAGCTGAGAGTGGCAGCTTCGTGGGCCTGGAGAGAGCGTCCCTTCGTGGGCGCTAGGGACACGGGGCTTGACAAGAGGCATACTCCAAGGGACACCCAGGCCTGGGTTCGGTGGGTGCTGCTGAGGCCATAGGGCTCCAGCCACACCCCCTGCCAGCTGCTGGCACCCTCTTCCATGTCAGAGCCAGCATCCCGTCTTCCCCCAGCAGCTCTTAGCCAGAGACCTTGCAGGGCTAGTGAAGAGACACCCATTCCCTCACCCCACTTCGTCCTGGGGTTCTACAGGTGCCCCCAGTGAGCCCGAGCCTCAGAAGTCACAGCAGTCACCTGCTCCCAAACACACATTTTCTTGGCTTCCTTCCCTTCCCTGTCTATCCAACCCCACCTATTCTACCCCACTGTGGGCTCTTCCTGGGGTCACCTCCCAAGTAAACTACCTGTACCCACATCCTTGTCTCAGCCAGTGGGCCCTGAGGAGGAGGTTAGGACCTGTAACGGAGCAGCTAACTCAAAAGCTTAGAAAGAAAGGCCAGTAAAAGGGCCAGCCTGAGAGCGCAGCCACTGGGGGAGACTGGGTGCAGTGGCCAAGCGTGCACCTAGAACTTTCCCACCTGCTAGGGGTAAGACCTCCCTCGGAAGCAGAGTTGGCAAGATGGAGCGAAGAAACAAGGATGCGCCAGCGTCTGGCACATTCTATGACAAAGAAGCATCCATTCCAGGGGTGGTCATGCCAACACGTGGTTACTGGTGGCAAATGCCAAGAGGGCTCAGGGCCCTGCATTGCCCCCCAACCCCGGGATGGACCAAAGATGGAGCCAGAGAACTCCAGCATTCCAGAACCTCGACAGGCCCATTCATTCGATAGCACAGCTGTGATGTTCCGTGCTAAGAACTATGCACTGGGGAACACCCGGGGTCGGGGGGGGGGGGGGGGCCCCTTTAATACCACAAAAAAAGTGTGTTTTCATAGAAACGCGGACAGAAATTCCAGATGTGTACCTTAATGTCTG